CACGGTCGAATGCCTTCTCCAGATCCACGAAACACATGTGGACTGGTTGGGCAAACTCCCATGAACCCTCCGCCACCCTGAGGAGGGTATAGAGCTGGTCCAGTGTTCCGCGGCCAGGACGAAAACCACATTGTTCCTCCTGAATCCGAGGTTCAACTATCGGTTGAATTCTCCTCTCCAGTACCCTGGCATAGACTTTCCTGGGGAGGCTGAGGAGTGTGATCCCCCTATAGTTGGAACACACCCTCTGGTCCCCCTTCTTAAAAAGAGGGACCACCACCCCGGTCTGCCAGTCCAGAGGCACTGTCCCCGACCGCCATGTGATGGGTCAGGGGTCTTGTACAGTAATTCATCTGTTGCTTGTTCTTGCCTGGCACAGGCCATCCTTTGCTGCTTGGGGTCTTCCTAACTAAGCATGTCCTGTGAAGTCTAAACATGGAGGTCAGGGAGATAGTGGGAACCCATGGTGAGATGCAAATAGCCCACTGTTTTGAGTTAAAGGGTGGTCTAGTTTGGATAGAAAGCAAGAGCACAGAGGAATTTAGCAAAAGAAAAATAATGGTCATGGCTAAATTCTGTGGATCATTAACTAGGTTAGCATACTTTTCCTGTTACTGACTTGGTGCTTGACATACTTTACACAAATCAGATGGAGTGGATGAAGGATAAGCACTTCATTTTGAGGGTTAATGCTGAGGAATCAAAGGTTTGTAAGTGCCACGACTGACAAGAGCAGTAAGAAGATGACTTTTACTACAGTACAACAGTTTCGTGCCGAGTGATAAAGCAAAGCTAACATTTTTGGATGCAGTTTTTGGAAACTGATATGCTTGTTCATGAGATTCAGAGCTGCCATGGATGCATCTATAAAAATATATGGGGTGCTGTGACAAAAGATTATTTCCCTAATGTATTTTTGTATGTATGTATGTACTCCGTTCCTAACTTGTTCACTGTAAGTATTGGACATAAACATTCAGGCAGTAGTCTGCTAATATGATTTAATAGTTTTTGTGCATGGAGGAAAGAAAGACTTTGGTCAATGTACCTGTAAGACAGGTGGCGTGTCATGACACACGCCAACCCTGTTTGACCATATTCATATCTATTGCCACATACTGACGACTAATATGTTATTTGAACATAATCTTTCTGAATTATAGGACATATTTCATAATTCAGATAATGTCAGGAAATTATTCACAGTGGTAGGAAAATAGACCCCAATGTGCAAAATGTATTTATAAGCTGTGACATGATATTTTTCAGTTTAAGTCCAAGTACACTGAGTCTAATCACCACAAAACCACAGTAAGATCATTTATTTGAACATAATCTTTCTGAATTATAAGACATATTTCATAATTCAGATAATGTTTTCTTTTCCTGCAGATGATGTCAGTGATGACATAGGTCTCAGAGCCTTCCTGCTATGCCATATCCCTCACGACAACTCCACATTGTTTGATAGGGATGCTTTCCAAATCAAATGGACCAAGGTGGCAGTTGATGGAGCAGAACCTGAGGATGTGCTGACTGCAAGGGGAATCGATAAGGAGACCTTTGGAAGCTTTCAGAACCGTGTTTTTCTGTACACAGAAGAGCATAACAGCACAGATGCCTCCATAATAATACTTAATGTCACCACAGAAGACACGGGAGAATACCGCTGTGAGATCAGCGGCATTGATGATGTTGAGCAGGCGGTCTTCTTGAATGTGGAAGATCACCTTGGTAAATCCTGTTTTTAGATCTGCTTAAACGCTTTGCTTAGGGTTGGACGTCATCTTTACTCATATAATCTGTGGACAGATCGGGAGATATTAATATTATGTTGCAATAGTGAGTGTAGTGTCTTGTCTGCATTAAAATGCATATTTCAGGATTAACAGTCCTCATCTACAATGTTTTGTTTCTAGCTACTAAAAACATCCAAATTTCTTTTTCTTGTGGAAAAAGAAAAACAAAAGAACAAAGAGCTAATGTTTCAAATCTGCTGTAATAAATCAGTCAGGATTACTTTTGAATACTGTTCAGTATCAGTAAACTGAAACCCATTTTGATTCATTTCCAGTCCATGTCTACATACATCTGACTTACAAATCAGATTTTATAGTCATTCAGTAGATTCCTGAAATCTGGCATGGGAACGTATTGAATGATTACAGTATGTCTGAACTCCTGATGACCAAAAAGCAGCTGCTACCAGCTTTTTAACATGTGTAAAAGATCAGTCTGGCTGAACAAGTGCATGTTATTTCTGACAAAGGAAGTGTGAACAAATACAAAGAAAACAATACAATCAAACCTTCTGCTACTTTGATAAAGCCATCAAAAGCTGAAAAAACTTCTGCAAATCATAAAATAGTTGATAATTTACTGATGTTAAATCTTAACTAAGAAAAACACAGTAATAAGTGAACAATCATAGCATTTCTGCTATTAAGTCTGCAGCATCATTTATATACTTGTCTTGAAATAGAACATACCAATATGTAAATTCACTTCTGAAATATCGCTTTACTTCTTTTTTGTGTCCATGCAGTTCGAGTGTCAGCCCGCCAGATGTGGAGAACCCCAGGGGCAGTACACCAGACGTGGAGAACCCCAGAAGAAGCAACCCCAGTGCCAGGTCAACAGATAGCCGGTAATCACAGTAATTTACTTAAAATTTTAATAAACAAAGAGAAGTGTAAGGATGATGAGAATCAGGGCGTGGGTGTGGCAGCGAAGGCTGAGGACTCAGGAGAGGGTGAAGGCAGGTAGGCAGTGTGGTGCTCACAAAGGAGGATCCGGGGACGTGGGGTACAGAATGCAGAGTCCAGAGAGGCTGGCAGGAGGGTGCAGGTTCAGGACACGGAGAGCTGGGAGCCACAAAGAAACACAGGGCACAGGAGTCTACCAAGACAGCAGGTAAGAGATAATAAAATAGCAAGCACAAGTACGTTGCTTACATAGCAAAACGAACTGGGAGGGAGGAGACGCCAGAGCTCTGGTTAAAAGCACTGGTGTCAATAGCTTGTACCTGTGCTGGCGAGCACACCTGGTTGCTCGTCCTAATTGTCAGAGGGGAGCGTCTCTCAGCCGAAGACCTAACAGGATCTTCATTCAGACAAATCAAGTGACATGGTATCATATCAATGTAACCTGTTCTGCCTCACTCAGGTGTTGTGTTCCCATACTCCCCCCACCTGGGTCGCTATAACCTGAACTTTGAAGGGGCTGTGAGGGCCTGTGCGGAGCAGAATGCTGTGGTCGCCTCCTATGATCAGCTGTTTGAGGCCTGGAAGGGTGGCCTGGACTGGTGCAACGCTGGCTGGCTGAATGATGGCACAGTGCAGTATCCCATTACCAAACCCAGAGATGCTTGTGGTGGCTCGAAAACTGGGCCTGGCCTCAGAAACCATGGCCGCCCGAACAAAAACATA